TCCGGGAGCATAGAGGGAACATGGGGGTTCCCACACAGGAGGGTCGTCTACCCGCCGTAGATGGCCCGAGGTACGTCGGGGCACCAGGGATTTCCTTTCTAGGGTACACCTGGTTCCCCGACTACTGGTACCTGAGACGGCGTGCGGTTTTAGTCGGTTCGAATCCGACATTGCTACTGGTAAGTGGTATCCGAGGGGATTTCCGCATAGAAAAAAAAAAGGGAACAGTACATATATTATTTTTGTAGTATATCGAGATGAACCGTTTTTTTTATAATATAGAAGGGCAAACGCGGCAGAGGGATCATCTGATGGTAAGTGGACACTCACGCAGTAGGAAGTAGCGAGGGGACCACTTAAACCACAGTGAGGTCGTAACTGCCCTTTAGCTAAATGTGTTAGGAGTCGGCACAAGAGTTTTATTCTTCCATTCTCTTCTATCAGTCGTCAGTTAACTGTTAAAGTACTCTTTTTCTAGCTTTATCCTCTATTACGCAGTTCAGTCATCTTTACTTCTGTCGTTATGAAATGAAATGATATTTATTTCTGTAAGTAAATCTTTTCAGATATTTAGTCGGAAAACTTAAGTTATAATCAACAACAAAACTGTATATTTTTTGTCATTACTTAAAATTACTGAGAGCTCGATATGAGAGAATGCTTTGTTTTTCTTTGCCTGCTTTTTTGTAAATTTTAAAATTGATAAGTAAATCAAATCAAACAAAAATCAAATCAAGATAACGGCAAATGTAGTCGGTTCAACTGCTGTTCAACTTATCACAATTCAATGAAGTTTTTCAACAAAATGCTTTGTCAAACAACTATCTTGTTGCCATCAATTACCGGTACATTTTTATAAGGCATGCAGAAAGGCTAGGCCATTAAAAATATGTTGAATAAAAAAACATCCTTGATGACACTCGACATACGAAGAAAATTCTGTTTACAAGCTTAAATTGATAAGATACCGGCGGAAATTTGTTGTCTCTCACGTTACATAATTTTCGTCTGAAAACCGGAAAGCTATTGTTTAAACATACACAAAAAAATAAAACAACCGTTTCTGTCAGTTTATTTTGTAAACAAATTCATGATTCCTTCATCGATACAGAGAACAATTCATTCATACACACTCTTTGATCGAGAGCAGAAGATGATATCGGCGTTCATATTATTGTCTTACTTAAGTACGTATTCATTAATTATATTTCATTACAATTATTCACTAAATTATATTAAAAAGGGTTGTAGATGAAAGTTCATTTATTTTCATTGTGATGTTATTGTGATGTTTAAAACAATGTGTGTTATAAAATCGATGTGTTTTTTTATGGTATAAGGGAGCAAACGAGCAGACGGGTCACCTGATGGTAAGCAACTATCGCCGCCCATGGACACCTGCAACTCAAAAGTCACAAGTGCGTTGCTGCAATTTGAGTCCCTCCCGCTCGAGTCAGCGGGAGGGGGGATTTGGGCTCCGGTAACCTCACTCACTCAGTGAAAGGTAACAAAAGAATTGCTTAACACCGGTTTTCTGTGAGGCCGTGGTAGAGCCGGCCCATTCGTGCCGAAGGATCGCTCTCCAACGGTATTCTTTTTCTTTTTGATCCAATTAACAGTGTGATACTATAGACAACTTTATATAACTAATAAGAGGTAGGAATTCTATATTGAAATGAAGACATAGCTTACAATAGACCAGACAAATGGATAGTTTTGTGAGCGGGATGCCTCTTACATGTTTTTGTGTTTACTGTGTTGATAATTATTGTAAAATCTCAATCAAAAATATTATACATCGTGATTGGTGGGTAGAAGAGTTAGTTATACCTACAGTCTGCTGTGTCTACTGTTTTTATGATATGAGGTCAAACTGTGATAGGTGACTACAGCCGCCCGTAGATACCCACAATTCAAGAAACAGAATTGTCAATCCGTCCATCGCCCCAGAGTTATAAGTCATCCATAAATTACTTCAATTGCATTGTTTTTTGACCCCAACCCCCGTCCTTGTCACATTGACAGCTAGTCATTACATTTATGAGGCTCCCCCCTACTGTGACATCACATGTTTGCAATTTTACATCTAAAAGTTATTAAAATTAACTTTGAAACTGCTATTTTATAGTAGTATTTTATATAACATCAACATAAAAGAAAAAAATTGGAAAATATAAAAAGACAAAAGTAATTAATTATATAATACTCTAAATAATTTAAATTTCGCGTTTTGATACTTAGATATATTAGGTTTTGGAACGCGACGTCACAAATGACGACCACTCCTCGTCACACAATGTGTGACGTAATTTATGGATAGCCCCTTAGAGGATCGGAGATTAGGCTTCGATAACCTCACTACTCGGTCAAAAGGAGCGAAACAATTGCCTAACACTAGTTTTCTGCCGGTAGCACTCCGGTTCAACCAATTCATATGTGCCTAACCTTGGTATTTAAATTCCGACTGCAAACCAGATATTTCATTAATAATCCTTGCCAAGTTACGTTACGTGGTATATGTGCTCCAAGAAGTGCCTTTACATTTTGCTGTACTTATGTGAGTATAGAAATACATTTTATAATGGAAAGTGGAAAGTGTAGTAGAAAGTGAAAAGTAACGCCTCATGTAAGGCTTGCAGTGACCTAAACAAAGTTATATATGCTCCGTTACCATAAAAAAATACGTTCGCTGTTAATTCATCAGTTATAAGACCGAAGAAAAATGTATGTTAATCTGATAATTTAAATTCAAAAATGGCTCATCACTCATGTATAAGGCTCGATCTTTAGTGTCCAAAACCTTATTTCTAGGACCAAATACTTTATTTTTTTATTATTGTTTTTTTTTATTCGCTATGTTATTGTAATATAGCACTACCTAGCTACCTGATCCTATTGAATTATGTCAAAATAATTCAGAGATGTTATTGTTATTAACTACGGTCAACATCCGATTGTAAGTTGAATGATCGAATGAAAATAATCGTCTCTACAAATGTCTTATTTACGTATTTACCCGACTGCGCCAGAAGGAGTGTTAGTGTGTCGACTCAGGACCTTGATTTTTATACACTCTAAGGGACCACAGACCTCAGGAAGCCTAAAAAAAACAAAATGGCGCATTTTTTGCGCTAAATTCAAATGTTTGGCACGCTCTGCGGTCGAGTCAGTGAGTCGGGTGCTTTGTTTTTTCAATAATAAGCTTGTTTATAATACTGATTGACGTTATTATAATATAATAACTTCGCAAATCTGACACACGGCAGTTTGATTCCATGCTATGGTATTTTGTAATAAACAGACAGATATTACAGATAAATTACACACACACCAAACAAATAACCGTGCCGATCACACAGTTATTTGTTTTGGGTGAAAATCGAACCCATAAGGCTTAGCAATCAGGCAGGCTAGTTAGTCAACAATATAAATACATATTTAAATTATTTGAACTGATCAAAATTCTAAATCTACCCGACTTACACGCGGGCAGACCCGCGGGCAAAACCTTTAATTAAATATGTGTAACTTAAGGCTAACTTTGTAACACATCTTTTTTAGTTCTTTATCTTATCTAAATAATCTACCTAATCTAATCTTATCTTATAAATATACACCTGCAACAGCTCTCCATCAATAACTTGGCCCTATATAATCAGTAAATCTATGTTAATATTATAAATCTCAAGAGTTTATTTGTTTGGTTGGTTGAACACGCTAATCTCATAAACTGCTGGTTTCAATTGAAAAAAGCTATTAGTGTTGGATTGCCCTTTTCTCGAGGAAGGCTATAAAGCATCAGACTACGACCAATGGGAACCGAGCATCAATGAAAATTGTTGCAAAAATTTGGCAAATTTGGAATTTATGAGTCATCTAGTAATTAATATTCCTACTTCTTTGCAGAGATCGCGAACTCCGAAATAATAAGCACGCCGGAGACCTTGACGCTAGGGTATCAGCCGCTATGGAGTTACGATGGCAAGTATAATCCATACTAATATTATAAATGCGAAAGGGTGTCTGTCTGTCTGTCGGTCTGTCTGACTTTCTGATTGTGTGTCTGTTACCTCATCACGCTTTAACCGCTGAACCGATTTAGATGAAATTTGATTTAAAGATAGCTTGAGGCCTGGGAAAGGACATAGGATAGTTTTTAGCCCAGAACTCATCCTTTAAGGGGGTGAAAAGAGGGGTGGAATTTTGTAAGGGGAAACAATAATCACAGAATCGATTTAAATAAAATTTGTCATGGACATAGTTTGATTCTTATGGAAGAACATAGGGTATTTACCGCGATATTAGACATACACGCGAACGGAGCCGATTTCAAAGACTAGTAATCACATAACCTATACTTGACGGCCGAATAGCGTAGTGGTTTGTGTAACGGACTGCTACGCCAAAGGTCGCGGGTTCGATTTCCCCTCAATTCAAACATTTGTGTGCATGAATATTTAATGTTTGAAATGGTCTGGCTGTTTCTATGTATAATATGTATGTAAAGAAACACAAATCAATTGGCCGGACAATACCACTGCAAAGAAAAGAAAAACTTAAAGCAAACCCTATTCAAACCAGTCTGGCTAGTATAGTAGGTCAAAACCTCCTTTCTAAGGAGAGACCTATGTTCTATGACTATCAAAGGCTGTTGATGATGAGGAGACTATTATTATTTTGGCAACACGTGGGCGCTTAACTCGCCTTTCCCTACCCGTTGGGTGATATGGGTCTTAATATGTGTAGAATATATTTAATTGTTTATTAATCACATACTTGAGAAATTCGTTAGAACAGTTACATTATTAACGACTCTGTCCCATCGACACTAAAGCTACCTAAGAGCAAAAGCTAGTTATTAATAAGTGACGATGTTATTAGGGCGGTTTACACTGACATATTTTCCAAGTATCAATTAATAAATCCTAAAGATACGAGTACATTGAAAACGTATCATTATCTGTTCCTTGTTTTATGGCATAGCAGACAAAAGGCAGAACATGAACCCCTGCACCCCCTCCCGCTCCCTCCCAAAGCCTGCCCTCGGTAAAAAGCAACGAAAGATTTGCTTAACACAGGTTTACTCCGGTCGAGCCGACCCATTTGTGCTCTTGACTCTCCCACGGATAGAATCTTACTGTGTCTTACCTTACAGAAGAGAGCAAATGGCCCGGATACCGTTGTAAGATCGGTGGCAGGAGACAGTCACCAATAGACATTAAAACAAAGAATGTTATAGAGGACTTTAATAAACTATACATCAAGAATGGACCTCTTGTTTTCAAGGGATACGATGGAGTTCTCGTCACAGGAATCAATAACGGTCACACAAGTAAGTCAACGTACTATATAATAAACCAGCGATCTGCCCGGCTTCGCAATGGGGTGTTAGTGTGGAGTAATTAATTATACTATTATTATGGTAGGACAAAATAGGACCATACTACAGGACATCTTTAAATGCAACATTTATAGGCCCGCTCCTGCCGGCCGCTGCCGGGACGGGCGTACGACTCGACGGTCCTTTGGCCCCCGCATTTTAAACTTCTAATATCTTTTAAAATATTCATTTTAATTATATGCTGTTCAGAGCAATTTTAATCTACATTAAATGCACAACGTATCTAACGTATTTAATAAGATAAGGAATAATAATGTATTGCTTAAAATAGCTTCGTAAATAATCCATTATTTTGATATACCTAATACTTAAAAGATATACAATTTCGTAGTGCATTATTTTGGTCTATCTTGTAAGGTTTAGCCAGCATTTGCAATGTAAGCGCACAAAAACAAGTTTTTTCAACAAATCTTTGAAATTCTCGGATTTCCTTTACTATAATATGCATGTATTATACATACAAACCTTCCTCTTGAATCACTAAATCACTAATCAGTTGCTTAGTTTAAAAGATCTAAGCGTACTACACAAAAAGCGACTTTATTTGATACTATTTAAAGATAAGTAAAATAAGCCTTTATAGCTGTAGAATAATTAAATACTCGTAGTTTAACCTAAAATAAAACGTAATTCTAATTTAGCATTAATTTTGAACTAATTCCTAATTGGTTTTCTTTCACATCTTGTCCTTCCACAAAGGCCTCCTCTAAAGCTTTCCATTTCATCCTGTCTTTGCCATTCTGGCTCAGCCGTCCTTTTCATGTCATCTTCCCAACGCTTACTTTGTCTATCTTTATTGCTCTTTCCGTCCCCGTTCTGTTCTGTTCTTTTTTCAAGTCATCGTACTATAAATGCCCGTAAAGTGATAGTGAAAGTGTAAAGTATAAAATGAATTTTACATTTTTTTTAATCTTTTCGTCCGCTACTTTTTAAAGACATTTTTTTAATCTGTGATCCTAGACTTCAAGTGGAAAGATATACCTTTAATAGTTAAAGCACCGAATGCAGCATAACAGCCGCTTTAAAAGTTCTACAGAACTTTTTCTTTTATCAGTACAATTCAGCACAGAAGGTGAAGAAGCTATGCACCCACAACTGAGAGGAGGCCCATTGGATTCTACCTACAGATTAGAACAACTTCACTTCCACTGGATGTCTGAACACGCCATCAATGGAGTCAAGTATGACAGCATAGCTAGAATAATCCTTTAATTTACAATTGGATTTGAGATGATTCGGTATTCCTAATAACCCGAGAGTGAAGGCATTTGAACTATTTTATCCAATTTCCAAAATATCAGATTCGAAGCTGACTGATATTTAACCGACTTAAAAAAGGGGGAGGTTATCAATTTGAATGTTTATATGTTGTTTTTATGTATGTTCGTTTACTTATGTGAAATATAAATAGAACAAACGGTTTTCAAAATATATTTTTTGTGAGATAGGGGCTTATTCCGAAATGGTCCCATTTAAATTTTATATAGATCAAATTTCGGATACAGCTAACTCATAAAAAAATTACAGTTGTTAGTGCTCTTTTTTAGTATTGTTTAAAGTGAGTTCAACTTAAAAAAAAAGGTTATATATTTAGTACCATAATTAACAATGTTGTTTCCGTTACTTTAAAAAAAAAAATTTACCAAAGTCGCCTCACCGCGATTAGTCACTAAGCGACAATTGATATTCAACAACGACAAACAACAACAACAAATTTTCTTGGGAAAATATGGCAAACGAGCAAACGGTTCACGTGTTGGTATGATGTGATCACCAAGATCCAATGAGACCTGCAACTTATGAGACACAACTGCCTTGCCGCTGTTTGAGTGCCCATCCACCTCAGAGAAAGGAAAGGGGAGGTGGAGACTCCGACAATCTCATTCACATATCACATCACATCAATAGCCTTTAATAGTCCACTGCTGGATATCGGCCACTACTTAGAAAGGAGGTTTTGGGCCTACTATACAACGCTAGGCAGACGGTTTTCCTTCTCTTTGCAGTGCTGTTGTCCTGCGTAGTTTGCTCCCTTAGTTACTCTCTCTTACTTTTCTAACACCCAAGGACATATGAATGAATAGAGTGGTGACACTCCGTATTTTTAGTCCGTCACCATTAGGATTATAACCTAATACACGGCTTATAATCTCATTCACTCAGTGAAATTAATTAGGAGGGAGAGCTGACAAAATTTCCTCGGGGACAGGGGTGTCACCTCTGGTAACTTCACTCACTTAGAGAAAAGCATCTAAAGAATAGCGAAAGAAATCTTTTAATAAGGCATATTTACTGTGAGTTTGAAAACGCTACTACCAAAAATAACGAAGTTTCTTATAAATGTCCAACACCCATTTTGCACCCTTAGGAGTGAAGTTTTTAAAAAAACTTTCTTGTGCTACGTCACCTAAGGAACATTTGTACAAAATTATATGATTCTATATCCAGCGGTTTAGCTGTGCGTTGCTCGGAAACCCACGTGCCAAGAACTTGAAAAAGGAAACTAAGCACCAACATTTGTGATACAAAATGCAGGTATCCCATGGAGATTCACTTCGTGCACGTACGCTCTGATCTGACTGTATTCGACGCTCTCTCCAGAAAAGACGGGCTCGCCATCGTCGCTGTATTTTGTAAGGTAAGTTTGATCATAAAATTGTTTTAATACAGCTGTGATACCCTTTTTAACTGAATTCAAATAATGAGGCGAATTCCAAATCATCGGGATAAGTGGATTTTAATAGAAGAGACTCTAATGTATCCTATCTAATCTATCTAATACCTTTAAACTGAATCTCGGAAACGGCTCCAACGATTTTCATGAAACTTAGTATCCAGGGGGTTTCGGGTCCGACATGCCACCGACAGGTGGTATCCGAGGGGATTTCCGCACGGAAAAAAAAAGGGGGTTTCGGGTGCGATTAATCGATCTAGCAAAGTTTCATTTTTAGAAAATTTACCAAAAAAAAAAACATCATCCATTTACTAAATATAATAACTACTAATGTATATGAGAGCATCATAACTAATCATTATTATATCATTATTCTAGTCATTATAAGTATGTAATCATTTCTTGGACTGAAAAAAATCATCATTAAGATTTCTAGTACACCAATTGGTTTTTATGATTGTAACTGATACATTTCTAGTTAGATAGTTAGAAGGAAAATAATACACTATCACAGATTATAAAAACCATCATCAACAACAGCCTTTACCAGTTCATACATATTGATAACAAGTTAAACTTGAACTTAAGATGATGCTTTGTAATAAACTATATTCTTCGGGACCAAACGGGAGGTAAAGCTATAATAATATAATAATAATAAAGCCTTTTATTCCCAAAATAATATTGCATAAAACCTAAAATACATAGAATCATAATTTAACTTTACGAGTACATGCATAATTTTATCAACAATAATTAATATAAATATCTATTCAGGAGGTATAGGTATACTTCCCGTTTAATCCCAAATGGATTTCTTAATGAGTTGAACACCTCTTTCGTTATTTAAACCTGTTTTAAATGAACTCCCACTATTAATCAATTTGTCACAAATCTATTATGTAACTTGTACGACACACTTTCTGTGTCGAAATGCGCAGTCATTACACATGTTTTATAATAAAAATTATTGTGGGTTACAAGCTATTGCATAAGGCATGACCTTGACACGTGACCTATGGTTTTATTACACTCATTGTGGAAAATAATTACGGAACATAATGTCTTCCTTCACTCTTTAAATTACTTAAAACGGTTGTTTTTGCAACCGACAGAGTGATACAACTAGGATTTGACAGTGGCTTTCTCTGCATTAGGATTTTTGTCAATCCAGTTTCATCAAAATTTCCCTTGGGATCTCTACTTTTTCTCTGCATTAACGATTACCACACTATTTCCTTGAACCACATTGTGATGTGATCGATTCTGTGATTAGGCCACCACACATAGGTAAATATATATATATATATATGAATTATGATATGATCATCAATCTATATGATGTATGTGTGTATGATATATGGTGATATAATCTGCTAAGTAGAGATCGCAGACGTAACAACATCATAATCATCATCATCTTCAACTTCTCTTCTTCTGGTACTGCGTCAATCATCATTACACAACAAATATCATTTTTTTACGTAAACTTAAAAGTTTAATTTTTAAACAGCTTCAAGGAACTGTAGACCTAAATATATAGTTTTAATTTTAACTCAATACCTCCACGCGCTCCCGAGATGAAGTGTCTTGACAGACGAACTGACAGACAGACGGGCAACAAAGTGATCTTGTAAGGGTTCTGTTTTTTCCTTTTGAGGTAAGGAACTCAAAAATACACGATTACACTTGTGTCTGAATTCAAATCTGATACTTCTATAAAAGTTTTATTAAGATTAATTAATTTTGTTCATAAACGAAACTGTAAAGGGTACTTCGGTACTGTAAACGATATCCAATGAGAAAATCCTTATTCGATAATTCAGTACTAAATTCTTGTTATTATACAACAATAGATGTTGCAACACGACCCTCAATTCACAAACACTGACAATTTAACTCATTACAAAATCAAACAACTTATTTAAATTTAACAATTTTAGTTGATTTTTATTTATTTTACCTACATTTAGTATCCGGTTACATTTGGTCAGATTCATTCATTCATCTTGACACAATAGCCATCAGTAAAATTGCTTTGTGTGCTGGACTGTCTACGTTCAATTATCGCATTGGACAGTAATTTGAGATATTTACAGATAATTTAACTGTCTCATGGTCGTACTTTGCGTCGGTAAATCCCACAGAAATCGTAATAATTACCATTTGTATGGTAATCCCATGTTTATAAAGTCGTCAGCCACTCGGTTCATATCACTTGGCTAGCTTTCAATAATAAATTTAAAAATGTATTTGCGCTGAATTAGTAATTTTGAATTAGTAATCATGATCATGAGGATGATGCAGCACCTGAAAATGAGGAAATACATCCTAATGTATCAAGTAATCACGAGCATAAAGGACTATACAAACATGTGTTAAAGAAAGTTATAGGCTCATTTAAAAAACATAGGCCTAATAGCCCACTGCTGGACACAGGCCTCTCCTTAGAAAGGAGGTTGGTATAGGGTTTGTGTCAAGTTTTTCTTCTAATATGAATAACACTTCTTAAAGATGTTACTTGGTTTTGCGGATGTGACTATAATATAATTCTTTAAAAACTTGTAAAATAATGTGTCAGTGATACACAGATTGTCTCTTTATAGTGTAAAGCCTATTAAAGAGTGAGAGTTTTCTCATGTTCACGAAATGTTTGAAAAGCATTTACCTATACCTGATCTATAGCTAAGACTTTAATATAGGTATCTAATACGACAGGTAGAATCAGATTTAGACGATCCTCCAGAACAGACAAAACAATTGATGGAATATATTCCGAGGCTCAAGAATACTGGTGACAGGATCAGCGGAGTATTCTTGGATATGAGGTAAATATGCTAGTATCAAATATTTTGTAGGTATTTTTTTTAGAGTAGGTATATCCGTGTGGTGACGGATTAAGAATACGGAATTTCACCACCCCTATTCATCCCGTGGGGGTCGTTAGAGCCGACTAAGGGAACAAACTGCACAGGACAACAGCACTGCTAAAAGAAGGAAAACTTGAAACAAACCCTATACCAACCCGTCTGGCCAGCGTGGTATAGTAGGCCAAAACCTCCATTCTAAGGAGAAGCCTAAGTCCAGCAGTGGACTATTATAGGCTGTTGATGAAGATGATGGATATTTTTTTAGAGTGCTACTGAGGCCCCGGTCATAGTGACCAGGTGACTAAACAATTTGGTTTTCAGAAAAGTATTAACCCCACTACCAGAGTCCGATTAAGTATCAAGAATGCCCAGGCAAACATCTCATCAGCGCTCCCCCGCATCTCTCTATCGCCCATACTATATTATTACTTTTTTATTGTTTAGTCCTTAATACTATTGAAACGTCACGAATTATGTTCTAGGAAATGGCTAAGTCCAGACAGAGTGTCGTATTACACATACTCTGGATCGTTGACCTCACCGAAATGCAACGAAGCAGTCACCTGGATTATCTTTACAGCACCACTGTCTATATCTGAGACACAGGTATGCATCACACATTAATAAAAAAATATATAATAAATCTGCAAAATAAATCATGCAAAAGTGCAGAAAAATGACGATTAATGAATCGTCATTTTTCTGCACTTTTGCCACAAGTAACTCCCATTCCCTCTTCCCTTTAGTAACATTGTAAAAGGTTTTGGCTGGTTTCTAAAATAATAATAATAACCCCACACATCTCACACATGGCAGTCTGATCCCAAACTAGGCAGAGCCTGTACTATGGTAACCAGACTGCTGAAAAACTTACTTATATATTTCTAAATACATACATATCTTATATATAAAATTCTCGTGTCACAATGTTCGTTCCCGTACTCCTCCGAAACGGCTTGACCGATTCTCATGAAATTTTGTGTGCACATCGGGTAGGTCTGAGAATCGGCCAACACCTATTTTTCATACCCCTAAATGGTAAGGGTGACCCATCCCTAATTTTTTTTTGTTTTGCAATACAACGTTTGCCGGGTCAGCTAGTTATAGATAAATTACACCCAGACACAGAACAAATGAGCGTGCTCATCACACAATTATTTGTCCTTGGTGGGAATCGAACCCACGACCTCTGGCGTACCTACAGGCCCGTCCCTCCCCCTAGGATCAGAGAGACTCGTTTGGAGTTTTGGCCTACTATACCACGCTAGCCAGACGGGTTGGTATAGGGTTTGTGTAAAGTTTTCCTTCACGTTGCAGTGCTGTCGTCTTTCGTAGTTTACTCACTTAGTCGTCTCTTACGACACCCACGGGAGAAATAGAGGTGGTGACACTATGTATTCTTAATCCGTCACTACACGGGTTCCCTTATACCATTAAAACATCCAACTCCTCTAATTTTCTTCTGATTAATTTCGTTTCGGGTTCCAAGACACTGTAATTTTTCCTGAGACCTCCCGAGTGTCATAACTCGGTGTGTTCGTGGGTCACTGCTGTTCACCCTGGTGTACAAGAGTAACAGTGGTTAACGTGTGAGTGTAGTCCCAGATCATAAAAAACATATTAAATTTGGTTAAACATTGGACTTTTATATAAATTAATCTGGTAAATACTAATATACGAGTATGTATTATATGACGTATAAAGACATGACCTTATATCGTTATTATCTAGATTTTTTTCATAATTCAAATATACGAGTATATATTTATTGTTAGAGCTGCTGTTTGATTACATGACTATTGTGAAAAGAAAGCATTTTTTTAATAATTCGTTCCTTCTTTTGATTTTAGTACCAGTCAATCAGCAATGCCGGCTACGGTGGTCGCAACTCTAGAACTCTGCAGAATCTGAGTCGACATGTGGTGTACTGCCCGCCGAAGACTAAGATACGTATACCACAGTTTATTACCTTTTTTGAAGACTTCTTTAAGACTGTCAAAATATTGTTCAAGAATATCACGACGAGGTAAGTATTATTGTTGATTTCTTTTCTTTTGTACTGCCTAAAGTTTGGTAGTTTAGAGTTCTAGGACCGACGCTATAATCAAGATATTTATTTATTTATGTATTTTTCTAGCAAATACGTAAAGCGAGCTTAATACCATATGCATTTTCTTCCAGTAAAATGTTTGGGTGATGCAGAGCTGTATGTGGCAGGTGTTTATCAGGAACTAATAAGACAAATGATATAAATATATACATAAATAGGTGTACATACTCATATATACCTAATAAATACGTACTATATTATATTATAAATCTAAGACTAAAAACATACATACACGTATATATTATATTCATTCATAAATAGATAATAAAGGCAACCAAATAGTATTATTTTCTTAACTGCGTCAACAGATATCTATAGAGCTTGCGTACGTGAAGACGTTATAAACATTCCACGTCCTGAGCTTCTAGTCCATTTAGTTTTTTTATACAAAGTTAATAAACAAGCACACGGCTCGTCTCGTGAATAGCAGATATCTTTCTCTGTGAACAAACGCAATAGGTCTACTCGTCGCACCACCTGTGCGTCCTGAAACCTATCTGTGGAGAGACGGGTGTCATGTCCCTCCAACACAAAGGGAAGATCCTACGACCAGACGAGGTGATCATGCCTGGCGGGCCGCGGCCCACGGGTGGTTTTGGAAAGTTGTATATGTGCTAATCGGCTAAAGAATTGTTAATACCGCGATACAGGCTTGGCGATTCTCATTTAAAAATTACTCCGTAGTTCGGTTGTTAGATTGCGCTGTAGTACGTTTCCGTTCCTTTGTATGTGGGTGTCGATACATCACTCCCTTCCAAGACGGTCGGTCAGACGGGAGGTCGATATCTTGATGAGTCAGCTGTCTATGCTTAAGTTATTTTTATTGTATTATTATTATACGTTTCACAAACCATACTTTTTACTTTAGATACTAGTTTTCCCAACGTAACAGTGACTTCTTTCTAAATATAAGGTTGTGTGCACTTACGAATCGACTGTTTAAAAAAATCAAGTGCGAAAATTAAAATTAATTTATTATGCAACCTTGGTAACACGTTGAACAAATTACTTTTGAGTGTTATGAAACTCGTCGACCAGAAAAACCATGTTTAATAACTATAATTCTTTAATTAAATAATATTATTGTTTCAGTCTGGTGACCGGCTTAGCAGGCCATTACTCAAGCCGAGATAACATTTTGTAATTTCGAGTTTGATCACATTGAAGAAATTCCTGAACTGCACCGAATTGTTGCTAGTCGTAAATTTAAAATCACCGACTCCAATTATAGAGCCATGTTTAACTTTTGTGGGCTATTGGGCAAAAACCTGTCTTATCAAGCCAGGCTGGCTCTAAGCAGGCCGTGAGAGAAGCTTGAATCAACAGGCATAACAAGACCCAACGTGGCCTGTTATATATAATTTCGGAATCATAATGCAAACTCGACTTGAACTAATTACTTTGTAAATACTACCAAGAATATTCTCTTTTTGTAGTCTTCCTATATATACTTGGTTTGTACCTACTTTAAGTCGAGATAGCATACAAGTTATAATGTTGACACTTTACGAGTAGATGTATATATATATATATATATAGGTAAGTGTCATATTAACTCTTCCCTGCGAGGCCAAAACTCCGAATGAGCGCATTTATGCACAAAAAAAGAAAGTTCAAAATTTTAAAAAATAACTTATGACCGTTTCATGTCCGTTAGTTCTCAAGTATTTGAATTTGTATTGTTTCAATATTCGATAAGCATTTGAAATTAATTGTTATTTGAGGTCGATACGAGAACCCAAGAAACGAACGCACTGTAGGTTCTTGGGTTATTAGTTAGTTAACTTTAGAACTAGTTGTCAAATAAACTGATATGCACTTTACTGGGTATAGATGACGTATGACGTACGATATAGAAAAATGGCTGCAGCCAGGTCATATATGGAAATGAGAAAAGCAAAAAGACCGAAAAATTTGACGTGTATTATGAAGAACTTTGAACTTAGATGGTGTGCTGCTAAACCTGGTTGTTCATTTATCAATCAATCTTAATCTTATTAGATTAGATAAAACAAATAAAATCAATTATAAACTGTAATAGTTTACATCGACATATTTTGTGGCATGCCGAGAGATATACCTACTGTCAAATGTAAATAAATAAATCAGATTTTTGTACAATAATTTTGTAGTTTTCTTAACCCTTGTATAGGTATCTCAGGTACTTAGATTGAATAAATAAGATTACAGATGACATACACCTATTAGTGAGGCACATTTTAGCTGTAATATTGTTTGAAATAAAAGTTTAAATATATTTCGGAGTTTGGGTTTGTTTATGTATAATATGTATGTATGTCCCAAGAATATTATTGTTATTTACACGATATTTTCCTGACAGTTACTAGGGTAGTATACGACTACTGGTTTCTTTCTAGGGTATACCTGGTTCCCCGGCTATTAGTACCAGAGACGGCGTGCGGTTTTAGTCGGTTCGAGTCCGACATGCCAACGATAGGTGGTATCCGAGGGGTTTTCTGCAAGGAAAAAAAAAAGGGCCCTAACTGTTAAACGTATAGAACGCAGGATAAAGAGTTGCGTTTGTTTTGTGACGGGGTGTAATCTATATATATATATATTTAGTGATATAAGTATTTTAATGTATAATATGTATGTATGTCCGATAAATATTACTTTTATTATTTACACGATGCTCAATATTTTCAATAAGAAGTGGAATATTTTCTTCGAAAATTACTGCGATAGTTACACCAATATTGGTATGGTATGGCCAGGTGGAGTGACGATTTGAGCGAGATGGCTGGCAGAACCTTGATGAGATAAGCCGAAAACCGATCTTAGTGGCGTGCAATAAGAGAGGCCTATGCTGGACATTGGACAGTGGACTGCGATAGGCTGATGATGATAGATACATATTGGCTGGCTCGACCGATCACCGATTAACTGACCGACTGATCGGTGACCCAATCTTCCCCCCCCCCTTCCCCCCCCCCCTTCCCCCGAGGTAGTACGGTGGCGTTAATCACTTACCATCGGATGACCAGTATATCTATTGAAGTTATAATTTTTACCCTTCACAAGGTAAGAAATGACTTACAGAAAAACAAATGCTTCTGTTAAATCTGGTTTATTTTAAATAATATTAACAACCATATCTACATTTCCCATTTACACTCATTCATTTGTCAACATAATTTACATTTATGTATACAATTATTGTTTTTAATGTACATAACCATTCTCAAGAAAAATCAAGAATGAAACATGTCGATGCAGTTAAAAAAATTACGCCGTCGCGGGACGTTTGACAGATGTAAAACATCGTAATTATTACTTCAGAAATAATGAGCACAAAATCACTTTGATAATCAGTGTGCAAGAGTCGCAGACTCACTTGCGCATGGCGACGCGTCGTCACACCACATTACATGTTACATATACTATCACACAGCGTGCATACCATGGCGAAGTGTCGCCACGCCAACACTCAATCTGTCCCTCAAAAAACTAAATTAACACTTTTGTATTACACAGCGCCACTTTCGAAAAAAAAATTACTTCCCGTTAAGACTGATACGAAACTATAGAAAATCATATCCTGCACATTAATTAATCTTAGAATAAGCAGGTCCAAACCACTGCACTGAAGGTATAGAGGTACCCAAGTACTCGGCATAAAGTATCGGATTTGGTAAGTGGTGTTACGAGCCTGTACATGCACAGCAGTTCGATAGATATTACTTTACTTTAAGTATATGATATAGTATTCAGCTGCTCAAATAATAACATCACGTTTTTCAGACATCCAAAGGAATCGTGACCTTATTCATAAATGACGAAAATCAAAAATGAATTAACAAGATCTAGTAACTTTCATGGCTAATATGTACGTTATCTAAATAATTGTATACAAAAATGATCAACATGTTTTGTTCAAACATTACAATTAACTAATAAATTACATAAATACGCCCTGCAAGGAATAAAATACAAATTATTCTGGCTTAGAATTTGATTTAAATAAAGGAGTTACAGAACAGTTGGCTTACTACGTATTGAAGTAGAACTGCGACATAAGGATTCTTACCCACTGAAGTGGCTTAAGTTTTTATATCCTGTATCTTAGAGACAGTACTCTATTATAGCAGCTTTCTTTTGTATACAGAACATTTGACATATAGTTATTTCATTTTGTTACATACTGGAGAGAGATAAGTTAGACAGGGTACATAAGATGTATGCTCTGTTTCGACCCCATCTAAGCATTCAAAGAAGACATCAGCTGTGCCTATTTCCTACAACAGCACAACATAAATTTCATCACGTACAAACGAATGAATAGTAGGATATTAACTGCAAACCTTCTCTATAATTATTATTATAGTTTAGTCGTTAGAAGTGGCTCTGGCAACACTGTCTGTAGTAAAAATTTACCACATAATCTCAGGTAAAAAATTGACACCTACGTTTTAAAGTTTATCAAGATTCACCAACAGAAATGATCGGAAGCCTTCGTCTTAAGTTCTGTACAAAATTGTGAAGTACACAACTAGTACATACAATAACAAATATATAATACATTGTCTATACAAAAGAATGTCTACGATTTATTACTAACGAGGTCCTTGAGCCGCTTCTCGATGTACTGGACCCTCGTTACCAACTTGTCTTTGGAATTGTACTCTGTGTATGGGATCTGCAATACTTTGTAACCCTGAAATGAAAAACACACTTTTTACATTTAGGTATATTCATTTTAAAGACACTGGGAATATATCCTGCAAAGCGGGGACTTTGTTTATTTATTTTTATCTTTATTGTTTACAGTTAACACATAAGAAACTTACAAATATATAGACAACTTTAATATGGATATTAGATATTTAAAAAGTTGAGTAGTTTACATACACGTAACGCATTATCTTTACTTTACAATCACTTATGTAGCGGACACAAAGAATACCCAGACTCTGAACAACGATTTGTGGTTTACACAGTGCTGTCCTACATGGGGATCAAACCCACAACAGTAAGCCATCCGTGCAGTCAAAAATAGCTGTAGTATTTTTAATGGGACTTGTACACTTTCATGTATTGTAGCCAGACCTTTTACGTCAAAGTTTTCAATACTGATACAGCCATTTAAGCTTAAAGGATTAACAAACATACTAATTCACACTCAATGAGCACGCATCGGATGCTTAAAACTATGGGCAAAAACAAACAGAATTTACTTGATAAAATAGTTAAAGAGTATGTGAAGAGAAGGAAACTGAAAACAAACCCTGTACCAACTGGTCTGGCCAACTAATGAGAGGCCTAGGTACAGCAGTGGACTATTAAAGGCTGTTGATGATGATGTAAATAAGACTTAAAAAGTTATAAAATCTGACCTTAAGTTGAAGTAACCTAGTGTAAAGTTGGTTGATACCGAGAGGCACGGCAGTCTTCCTCGTCATGTCGTGGTACTCCAGCCCTAGAACTGCTATCCGGTACACGCTGTAAAAAGGCAGACACCTCACATTAAAGGCTTGCTGAGTTCCAATCTATGCTCACACTGCAAAAAATTACTTTCCAAGAAAAAAATTTGTTTTTTAGTTATAAGCGGCACTGGCATAATAGGTTTGATTCCTGGGTTTAAAATAAATTATTTAGCTTGAATCATTAAATGCAAAATCTCAAAGTATAGCCTCATTTGTATTATTATCAAATTAATTTTTGATATATTTAAATAAACCTTAACGTAAACTTTGTGTAACGTCACGCCACGTATTTCATGTGAAAATGTACCGGGTCTATCGTTTATACGTTAATAAAAAGATGCGCATTTGATTTTTGCTCACAAATGGTTTCGGGTTCAAATCCGACCCAGTCTAGCCTACTTCTAACATAAGCATTTCATTTAGCTTCAGGGATTAGCAAGAATACTAATCAAGATTCAAGATCAGATATGTAATTCTTTTCTACACCCCTATTCATCCCCTGAAGAGCTGATTACTAGAGCAAACTCTGCAGGACAATAGCAATGTAAAGAGAAAAAAAAAACTTGAAAAAACCCTGGTATGGTCTGGCCAGCGTGGTATAGTAGGTCTAAATCTGTTTTCTAAGGAGAGGCCTATGTCAAACAGTAGACTACTAAAGGTGATGATGATGAAAGGTGATAAAAGACTGCACGGATGGCGTAGTTGTTTAAGCGGTCGCCACGCCGTTTTCTACTGCGCCGAGTGTTGTGGCTTCAAACCCCACATGGGACGACACTTTGTGTGATTCACAAATTGTTGTTCTGAGTCTGGGTGTTCTTCGTGTCCGTTTCATGTATGTTTGTAAAGTCCCCCGCGACACAGGATATATTACTAATGCGGGAGTTGTCTTTTTTAATTAAAAAAAAAAAAGATAGCCCACCACTTTTTTTTATACAAGTTATCATAATTAAGGATATTAAAGTCGGTGACATTCCTTTTTAAAATTAATGATTATAGTTCATTTCTCTATTTAAAAGAACACTGAAAAAAAAATGTATTGAAAGACCAATATTTACTTCTGGTTATTCACAGCCTTTTCTAACGGTACAGGATGACATTTTGCATCTAATGCAAATTCGGCATCTGTAACAAAGCATTAAAAGTAAATAAATACATAGGCACTATACACTATTGTGTTAGGAGTGGGTTCACGTCGGTAGTGTACTGGTCAGGATTTGAACCCACGACCTCTCGATCGCAAGTCCAACGCCTTAACCACTAGGCTACCGCCGCTTTCTTAAATTATAAACACACTTTCTACAATTGTTTAGGTTTGGTCCGTTTTGTTTTATTTGCTAAATAACTATCATCATTTTCTTAACTTATTTAACTTCCCATTTAGTCTATCTAAGAAGTCAAAAGATTAGTCACCCTTTTTCCTTTATCAGTCAGTGGGTCAGTGCATAAGGTTGTCTTCATCCATTCTCCTTGATCACTCGACATCCTATTTCACGCACTCCTTCATTTCATTGCGAAATTGATATGTATTTGACCGGTGGATTGAAGAATAGACAACAGTTTAGCGCGGAGGCACATTTATTACTGACTTATAAAATACTACAGTTTCTACGAAATGCAAGTAGGTAGGTGCAGGTGCAGGCACGCACACATACTGCTAACGCGGCGAACAACGCACACTTGTACACTTGTACTTACACAACAGAAATGCTTTTGGCTTAAGAATATATTTTAAATATATAAGATATCCACTCCAACTTCGGTCATAAGATGTTCTTTCCACCCTTACTACTTTTTTTTGTGAAATGTAAAGTATTAATACACCAATTTGCAACCGAAAGCTACACTTAAAGTGGAACACAAACTGATAATATAATAATATTCTACCACATTCACACAACGCCATCTAGTCCCAAACTAAGCAGAGCTTGTACTATGGCTACCAGACAACTGATATAAATACATATTTACTTCTTTTTTTTTGTAAATACATACATATTATACATAGAAACACCCAGACCAAATCAAACATTAAATGTTCATGCACACAAATGTTTGACTTGAACGGGAATCGAACCCGTGACCTTTGGAATAGCAGTCCGTTACACAAACCACTACACCATCCGGTCGTATGCATGATAAAAGTTGCATGTTGTTTAGGTCCCATAAAATTTAATCTATCTATCTTAAGTAGTCGTTAGAGGCGGGCAGCACAGGCCCAGTTGTTGTGGCGAACTTTGGAGAAAGTCATTTACAGCAGTGAATATCTTTCAGCTGATATGATGATGATGATCTTCAGTAAACTCACCATACAAAAAGCCCATGCCGGAATTGCACTCCTTTTTAACAAAAGTATCAGCCGAAACTAAACTCTTGAATGTGTCCATGATACTCATCACGTAGAAGGCCTTCTCCTTAGTGTACATAACAGGAACTCCAACAGATATGTCTTCAGGTAACCGAGGTGAGCCAGGGCAGGTGAGCTGAAGGTATGCATCTATCATCATTAGCTTACGACGAGAGGGGATAGCGATTTCTGGAAAGAAATATATCGTTATGTTTTAATGTTATTATAACGTATTGTGATCATTGAATCGGTATTCTGATAATATTAGTAATAATTGTAATATATCGTTTTTCAAGCGAAATGTAAGGCCACTTAGTTATTTATTAGTTACAAAGAACAGTAGAAATTAAGACACTGCGGAGGTTTTCGTGAGGACACTGCACTTCTCACCTAACTGCAGTGCTCAAGGGGGCATCATACAAAGTGTTGTTCCATGTGGGGTTTGAACCCACAACACTCAGCGCAGTAGGAAGCGGCAACGTGAGCTCTTAAACCACTACGCCATCTGTGCAGTCAAATGCATTATGCAATTAAACTAATTTAAACGTCTAATTACCATAATATTAACCTATGTTTACGGGAATGCCTGACGGTGTCAATCATTCGGTCAGCCTGTGACTAGAGCCAGTGCAAACTGGTCGAAACGTCAGGGACCTAAAAGGTTTAGCGCGTAAACGTGATAGTTTAAAAGTTAGTTTAGTTCTTATCAGATACTAATGTGTATAAATGTAGTAACAATAAGCCTATGCTGCTGTCGAACTTCAGTATTCTGCTAATAATACCTCTTAGCAGTATAAATCTTTACAGCCAAAATAAACTTATAATCTTACCGCCAGCCGAAAGTAGTTTGTCTATGAACTCTGGTTGTAGCGTAGAGGCCAGCTGTTCTGTCGTCGCTTTATTAAGTGTAAGCAGCGAGAACACAAGGTCTAAAAACGATGAGGATTTCGTCATCTCTTCTTCTTTGAAAGTTAGCGCTGTCTGAAACAACCATGTGTTACATACATTCAGAATTAAAAACTTTTAATATCAATTTCTAGTCTAGCTAATGCCTTGTTTTATAGGAAATAGTGAGAAAATGATTATAAGTAACTAAAGATTGGCCTGACAGTCTAGTGGTTTTGTTGTATGGGTTATGGGATGTAATTCCTCTATAATTTGTATGTATTTAGAAATTTATAAGTATGTATATCAGCAGTCTGGTTACCACAGCACAGTCTTGGCCTAGTTAACACTAGTTGGCACTGTGTAAACAGTTTTTTTAGGTAAGGTTCTACTTGAGCCCACATCCCAGCTGTCCACAACTGGGATTTGGGCTCAAGTAGAACGTCATGTACATAGTATAAATATATACATAATTTATAATATGAAACCCATTAAAAAGCATTGACAAGTCAATTTGTTCAAGTCTTGTAAATTTTTACTTGGTTATACATAAACAATTTAAAAACTCAACTTACTTGTACAAGTCCTTCAGCAGCCGGTGGTAGATAGTCGACAGTGGCCAACGTCACGATCACCGAAGCTACGTCACTCGCTCTCACGATATCCTTGTTGCTGTTAAGCCAATCTGCTATGGACCCAAGGAGAGGCTCGTGGCGATACTTCATGAGACCGATGGAAATGGCTATGGAGGTCACTACTGCGGGCTTGTCTTTGTTGGCTGGTAAGCATTCCATTACGTCGCTGAAATGAATATTTACAATGTACTATTAGAAGTGGCCCAAACTTAAAGTTTACCTACCAAACTTAACTTTACCATATTGCATTTTAATATATTATTTTTGCATATTGTGAGGTGTCCAGTGAGATCTCTACTAGGTTAATTTAAAGATTTGCCTACGACATTGGTTATGTATAAACAAATGGTTTGCATTTCAAATTCATTTTCACAGTTAAATTACTACATCGAGAATGTTAACTGATTACCTGGCCTGTTTAGTCTGTGTGCAGTGTGAAAAACTTAGAATCGTTAAGCCTCATTGAGTTAAAAGACTAGTCAGTATGACAATAGCACTCTCAGAACTCAGGCTATTCTTAAATAACTCAACCATTTTATTTAAATATATGATAAACTAGCTTTTGCCCCCGGCTCCGCCTGCGTGTTTGTTGGTTATTGTGGTAAAAAGTTGTCTATAGCACTCAGGGATAATATATAGGAATTTTCAAAATCGGATAAGTACTACCGGACATTACCCCCAACATACAAACTCGAAAACTTTACATCTGTATAATATTAGTATAGAAGTATAAATTAAATTAGTGTCGACTACTTACTTGCAAATACGATCAAGTAAAATTGAATCAGGAAAATTAAGTGATGCCATTGCAAACAATAAATCAGCTGATTTCTTGAGGTCGATGACCTCCGCCTGGCTGGTGATACTGTGCGAGAGAGCTCGCAGTAGTGGCGTGCTCCGCCGACCCTTCTGCTGAAGAGCTTTCATCACCTGGTAATAAATATACATATATTAATAATATTTTTAGATATTTGACATTGGCAGAACTGTATTATGCAAGCTAGATTGACTATTAGAATTTTATATCCTTTATTGTAATATATTACATTGAAAACACACAAAATCCGAAACAAATTTTTGTAGATCATACAAAGATTTGGTCCGACCCGGGAATCGAACCAGAGACCTCAGAACAGCAGTCCCTGACGCTATCCTTTATTTGAAATGTATAAGTATGTTTAGTAACATTGCTTCTTTAGTTCTAGATGAAACGACTGTATGTAATGTCACACAACTTGCATTCGGTCGTAAAAGGTGTTGGCATATGATTGTTATTATCTTTATAATAAATTAATTTACCTTAATTAACAAAATACACAATGGCTTTTTACCTTCACCATCTGTGGTAATGTCAAATTCGCTATTAATCTCGCTGCTTCATCATCTCCAGTGATACCCAACACAGTGCTCAGATCTTCAGCCATAGTTAGTGAAGTCATGGCCTGTGCAGTTGTAGAACGTGCTAGTATACGGCAGAGTTTGAGAAACCGAGGGTCTTTCTCAAAGTCACCAAGTTTAACTTTGTTGGTGCTTGACCATTCTGAGAGTATGGACACCATCTAGAAAAACGTAATTTATGAGATGTTAAAAGAGAATATTCTTATCATAATTTGTAACCAGCATCACATAATGACAGATAGAAACAATTATGTTACTTTTAAATTATATTGTATAGAACACCACAATCTATACAAATAAATAAAATTGGAGTGTCTGTTTGTAATATTAAAATAACCGCTTTTTACTAAATGCATGTGTATACGGTACATTTGCCAAAATAACATTTTTTTCAATTTTTGTCTGTCTGTCTGTCTGTTTGTTCCGGGTAATCTCTGGAACGGCTGGACCGATTTCGACGGGACTTTCACAGATAGCTGATGACATAAGGAGTAACTTAGGCTACTTATTTTAGACTAGCTTCGCCCCGCGGCGTTGCCCGCGGTTATAACAACAAACGCGGGTAACACCGCGGGTCTCAATTAGTCTATACATATAAAATTATTTACTGATTATTTACTGACTAATTATTGACTGACTGATTCTTCAATCAGTTAATAATTAGTGACGCAGAACCTAAGGCAATGGGGATGCAAACTTTAAATTTTGGGTACTGATGCTTTTTATGTTGTAAGCACCCACTAAGAAATGTTTTTGAAAATTTTAAGCCTTAAGGTGTAAAAAAAGGATTACAGGGAAAACGGTTGAGAAGTTTGTCATTTTGGAAATTCGTTCCAAAATTAGAAATATGAAATATATTTACACAAAATACACTCTTAAGTGTATGTTTTATTCTTGTTTTGGTATGTATGTGCGCATTAGTCTTTTAAACACAATATTACCTTGAGAGCATGTCTTCTAGACACTACAGGGTTTTCCGCAACAACTAATAAATTATTTAAGTCAGTTGCCTTCATTATTTGACTGTCTAATTGTTGTGCTCGTGTGTACTTTACTGATTTTGGACTTGGTTTTTGTTTGACTTCATCTGCATCTATGGTGTTCAGAGAGGCAAATGCTGCAGCCACTAGACCTGAAATATAAAATTATTTTTAATTTATTTATATATTAACAATCTACAGCAGAATCTAAATATTGTAAACTGTAACCAACTGTTGAGACATAAACACAACATATGTTGAAATGTATGTAACTTTCAAGCCAATAGAGTCAATAAAAACTATTGGAACATACTGTTTTTAATCTTCTAGTCTTCAGATGTCTGTGTTTACTATTATAATGCTTGCTAAATTCAATACTAGACGCCAATAGGCTGAAGAAGATACTATAACATATTAAAATAAAAAATTACCTGCGTTATCGTTGCCTGGTGTTCGAGCTTCAGAGGGTTTGTCAGACAGATTTGTAGATACTTCCAGTTTATCAGTTTTAAATACTGTAGCACTAGGGCTTGAATATTTTCTTACGGCAGTCCTTGAACCTAACCTCCAAATAACTAGACCGCTTAATTTCAACATCTATAACAAAAACAAAGACAGGATCGATTTCAATTTATAAATTATACTATTCTTTGCATGACACTTGTTTTTAAATTAAGGATATATTTTAAAAAATACTGAAAGATACTCAAAATACAACTTCTTACATCACGACTTAAAGCTGTAATAAGATGTTATTATTAAATTATAGTTCTTAGATATGTTTAGAATGTATGATGAAAGTACCTTAAAAGACTTAGGAAATAGCCTGAAAATGATTATTAAATTTTTAAAGCATTTAGAATATATAAAAATTATTTATCTTTCTGACAGCTGAATAGAGGAAGTTACCATGTAAAAAATAGAAAGTACAACTAAACGTAACTTTATTAGTTTTAATCACCTTTGACGATCAATCACATTGCCCTTGCCATTTTCAACCATCTGAACCAGAAACAAAACGCGTCTTGGTCTATGGGTGTTTACATCTCTTATATCTATGGAAATTCTGTCTGTAGTGTTGTGCCATACCTAAAAAAGTGAACTTTTTAACGGTCTACTCAGGTCTACGTATAAATACAACTAGGTAAATCAACTCGGTTCAAAAATTTCTCAATTTCCTTTTCAAATCAGTGTAGCTTTAATAATTAACAACAAATCTGAAAATAGGTTACTAAATGACGTAAAATTTATTTTAACAATCTAAGAATTTTTTGAATATGTTATCTTCTACTACATCGACCATTTGTCATTTGAATCTTGAAAAACTCGACGATCACATCACTATCACTAAAAATTGCAAACGGTGATCGTGGGAGGAAGTTTTGTTGTTATATTTTGTTGTTATTTAATTAAAAACAGTGAAACCAATATTGAAAACAATGAAATTGGTGAGTGAATTATAGTGCAAGCAGAAAATCTTATGAGAATAGTTTTAAACGTGTCTTCAAAGAGTTAATTGTTACCGTTTCTCGGTGATGAATATGTGTGAATTTGAAAATGTTTCATTTGAAATTTGTTGCTATTTCTTAGTAGAAATCTTGAAATATCTTCAGTATTACTTATTATTTATTAGTATTAAAATACTTTTCGTAGGAGGTTGTCTAGTAAATAACGGACGACAAACGTATCTGTACACATATAGGTAAAATGTTAATCCTGTCTACCTTCTCTGTAATAAATTATTATTACCGGCGTTTGGAATATCGTCTTATCATCTCCTCTTCTTGTGCCTCTCTCGTGTCCATGTGCATAGTTCTATTGTTTGTAGATTTATTGTCACTTCTATGTACATACTAATGATTAAATATTTACTCATCATTCTTGTAGTGACTACTTAGTACAGTATCGGTAAAAAGAAATTACGAAGGTTACGGTGTTTGAATATAATAGGTGACAGTGGTTATCAACAATAATTTATAGCTGGAATACAATTAATATGTCTTATTTCTAAACCTAATGAAGAGACTATTTCTTAAGAAACAATTCCTTGTTCTTTTGAGATGAATCATACATTTTGGCAGAACAAGAGAATGTACAAAAAATATTGAAATTAATGAAACTAAAGAGAACTATAAAAGTAAAAATTGCAAATAATAGCATGGTAGGTATTCACTAATCATTGTGTAATTAAAGAACTGTGTGATCAGGTTTTTGACTGGTCTATGTGTCTAGTGGTTAGCAATCTTTAATGCTAGCCCAGAGGTTACAGATAGGATTGTCACCCAAAAAATAATTATTATCGGACATGCAATTAGCACACCCAAATATATAATAAATCTAGAACATTGTGTCTGGATTTAATTTATCTTTAATATTTGTTTGTTTTTCTTTAAAAGACAACTCCTCCACTAAGAATATATACTGTGTGGCGGGGGACCTTGCAAACATACATGAAACAGAAACAAAGAACACCCAGACTCAGAACGAAATCCCATGTGAGGATCAAACCTACAACACTCAGATTGCGGTGTGGCGACCACTTAAACCACTATGCCATCTGTGCAGTCATTTTACCAGCACTCTGGTTACCATAGCACAGGCTTTGCTTAATTTGGGATCAGACAGACATAAAAGCAAAGTATAGCTATTTCAGGCTATAGCTGCTGATTCAGGGTTGATTTGTAGTGCAATTACAATAACAATGTCATGATCATTATTTGTACCCAATAATTTTAATAGTTCAGGAAACATTCTAAATTCATAAAAAGAGTATTTATATAATAAAGGAATGTGAAAAAGGTCATTTAGACTAGTAGTGTAGCATATTGGCTGCATATTTGTTGTTTTAACTAGCTTCTCAGTTTTTTTTTTTAATAATGTGGGTATCTTACTATTGCACTTTGGTAATTAAACTCCATTTTCTATCCTTTCTGTTACCCCAATAGACAAAGTTACATTCTTCCCTCCCACATTAGGAATATATATCCTGTATCACCGAGGACTTTACAGACATACATGTAACGGACACAAAGAACACCCGGACAACAATTTTTAGATCGCACAAAGTGGTGTCCCAGGTTGGGATCGAACCCACAACACTCAGCGCAATAGGAAGTGGCGTGGCGACCGCTTAAACCACTACACCATCCATGCAGTCTATAGTCTACATTCAGATTTATAATATTAGCTAGGATTACCAAAACTTACTAGATTGAAATGGATAAAACATATAATTAGAGTTGTGAAACATCTGAGTAAACAACGATTATCATGTGAATCTTATCTTATACATTTCATAATCTCAGTTGCTTACAAGATATTGATGATAGGTGATAAAAATGAGATCCATTATATTTTGCTGGCTGCTTAAATGTAAAGGGCTGAGGTTAAATCGAAATAAAGATATACTTTTTGCCATATTTTGCAAGTGCTTGAGGCTATACATCAGCACATATGAACAAGTTCGCCGGAGTAATTGCAAAGCGTCTGTAAGGCCAAGAAAACCAGTGTTGAGCAATACTTTCGTTGCATTTCACGCAGTTAGTAAGGTTACTGGAGGCCAACAAGCTCCCAGTCTCTTTTTTTTCTCCATTTTTCTTCCATACCAACCCGGTTATTTCGGACTCGAATCGACTAAACATCGCACGCCGTCTCGGGTACAAGTAGGCCGGGAACCAGGTGTACCCTAGGAAGGAAATCTCTGGTACCCTGATGGACCCTGGGCCATCTAGGGCTTTTAGATGACCCATCGTGTGGAAACCACGGTGTTCCCATTATTCTCTCTAGAGGGCGGCCGCTTCACAGCCCGGCCTGCTTCTGCTAGGGCGGCATATGGCCTCACCTGTCACCCAGGTCTGCGCTTATGGTGGACGGAGGTCGTACTGCGACCTCACCTCTGGTGCCTGAGTCGTCTGCGTTATCGGGCTCGTTCCTGGTCCTGGTTCTAAACATCTCCGGGTCTCGCTCCCTCTCGTTCTGATTAGACAAAAGTCAAGGGCCGTGTAACTCTTGTGTTGCAAATGTTCATAAGCGGTGGTTGTTTCTTACCATAAGTGACCAGTCTGCTGGTTTGCGGCACTAAGCTATAAACAGCTAATGGTATTTTATAGCCATCTTGGGTGCATCATCTGCGCATGCAGCCTCTGAGGTGGTCTATTATGCAATCGGGTAAGACCGAGTATTTGAGCCAGTCCAAGTCGTTAAATGATGGTTGGGACTATCAGGTTTATAATGGTTTATTCAGGCAAAAGTCTAACATGGACTATGCACTGCTTCTGACCATATCCAGAAACAACGAGCTTTCCTGACTACTTTATAGCTCCCTTGAAACAATAATGAACTCTAACTAGACCTCGAAAATCATGGCTATGGCCATGATGTGTCTCTAAGAGAATATAGTGTGCATTCGAATCTATCGTCTATTATCCACTCTTCCTGTGACCTTGTAACCTAGACGTTAGCCAGTATAGTACCGTCTGAAAAATATACCCATTAAACATTTTGTTGCATTGCCTAGACCAGGGGTCTTACCCAAGCACAAGATGGGATTACCATGGGAGAGTCTTGCTTCGGCACGAATGGGCCGTCTCGACCGGAGTTATACCACGGCTTCACAGAAAACCGGTGTTATACCACGGCTTCACAGAAAACCGGTATTAAGTAATTCTTTCGTTGCCTTTCACTGAGTGAGTGAATATACCGGAGCCCAAATCCTCCTCCTGCTGACTGAGCGGGAGGGACTCCAAGGGCGGCAACGCCCTTGTGACTTTTGAGTTGCTGGTGTCCATGGGCGGCGGTAGTTGCTTACACGTGACGCGTCTGCTTGTTTGCGCCTTTTACCATAAAAAAAATATACTTCCATGCCACTATTACCAAATACATCAAAAGCACAAAAGTCCATAATAGATTTTAAAGCTATAGGACTAATTTATATCTGTCAAATAGTTAATTCATCATAATACCTAAAAAAAAGTTTTTAATTTATAGTGATGGGACATATGGACCGTATAGTGCCGATAAAATTTTGATAGGACTGACTAATTAAAAGAAAACGGCTTATAATAGTTCAAAGGAAATTTTGGGAAAGGTCCAAGTGTTCGAGAAATATGCTTTGATGAGTAGATAATTATTAATGAAAAATATGTAAAGAGATTTATTTTGGTAACTTCAAATGTTAATTACTCGTGGTAGAGGTTATTAAAAATCGCATGTTTTATGAATAGATTTTATGATATGGTATCATATATCAATATTTCAATTTTCTAGTTAATTTCAATACATATTTTAAAACACACTACGACTCTCTGCGTTTGAGCTTCTTTCCAATATGAGCTAATGGATGTTAGCTCATTGAGTTACGTTCAGTTGATAAAGGAATGTCATTTATTGTACTTATAGTATGAAAACTAAGTGGTCCTAATAAATTGGTGTCTACTACCTACTAAAATATTACAGAATCAAACCTGAAATTTATAAAAATACTATCTTTTGCCCGCGGCTCCGCCCGGTCTATGTCGGTTATCGCGGTGAAAAGTATTTCCACTTATTTCGACAACAAGTCTGAACCGATTGATTTAGAGAGAACCTCGTCGTGTCTTTCAGGCGGCTATTGCACGGACACTATATATTGATGTAATTTTTATCTTATTTGTTGGTATCGTGTGAGAAAAAAAGAAATGGCTGCTGAATGAAAAGAATGTCCTTTTCAGGCGGGGGCTGAAAGCGTCGGTGCGGCTCGCTGAGCGCGCCTCGCTCCGCGCCCCCTCCCGACAGCAACACTTGGTGAGTTCATGGTAGATTAGCTTTAGTGGTATATGTGTACTGGTGTAGTTGTGATTTGTTAATACTCTTTTTAACCATAGATTCGTCATAATGTTGAAATGTGTGCTAAAAAAGAATCAAATCGGACAGGCACTGAGACAGAGAAGGTGATTTATATTTTTGCAGATTCCCTATTATAATTTACAGAATATTGCACATTATCTAGTCTATATTAGTAAAGTTGTAACAATAATAAAAAAATTAACCGGATAATTGATTAATTCTCACCAGATTTATTTTTCTTAAGATAATTTAAAAGACAAGAAAGATCCGTGACAGAATTTGTTCTCAGGGTTTCTGGTGTGTACCTTGCTTGAAGTCTCACGAAAGAACTCCAATGGATGACGCACCGGCTTTTACTTATAGGTAAGTTTAGTAAACTTAGTAATTATAAATAAGAAGGTACTCTTTTTTTTAATAAAAACATCATCGAATATTCTTTATCAACTGTGTAACCGTATATCGTATTGTAAACTTATGATGCTTATTGACAACTTTATAAATAAGAATGTAAAGTAATTTTATTCTTGAATTTTTACTGACTGTAGTTAAAACTACAAATAGTCTAAAGTTGTTGATTTACTATTTGTAGTTTTTCTCAAAACCTCAGTTGGTTGTGAAATTTATCTACATATTTACTAAAACTCCAATACTCATTGTACTGTATAAATAAGTAATACTAACAACAATAATCGGACATCTGAAACACAACGCCATCTAGTTTCAAACTAAGCAGAGCTTGTACTAAGAAAGCCAGATCGACAGATAGAATACTTACTTATTACTTTTTTTTTGTAAATACATACATATTATACATAGAAAACACCAAACTCCGAAAAAAATATATGTAGATCATACAAACATTTGGTCCGACCCGGGAATCGAACCCAAGACCTCAGAACAGCAATCGCATAGGCTACCACTGCACCACCAAGGACACCTTTTTTTTACTACATCAAAAAGCTTTACATGATAGATATCATGTAAAGCTTTTTGATGTACTAAAAAAACTTTTGACTCATACAGAAAAGATTTTCTGTATGAGTCCTCTCACATCCAAAAGTCATAAATTATTATGGAAAATGAACAAATAAGTACATGGTACCCGAAGTATTTAACAAAATAGACTTATTAAGAGAAAATCCTAAAATAAGTACCGGGAAATTAAAGAGAAGCCTGAAGGATATTCTGTTTGAGGTTACTGAAGCGGTTGGGTTATGACTGCATATTGTAATATAGAAATTGTTCTCATAAAGTTGTCTTAAATATGTAATAATATTTTTCATAGTTTAGTTTAATTAATTAATTTTTATAGTTAAGTTGTTACGTTTTTTTTTGTCATTTTCGCTATGTGTGAGCATAGATTACTTATTTGATTAACGAGCGCGTCTCGACGTTAAACATACGTTTGGCGAGTATAAAGTTTAAGTCTTAGATCTTAGAAGTTACTACTGTGAATTAAAAAAATTAAAAAAAACAGTTTTAAAGGTATATAATATATATCGAAACAGAATTTGGGTTCGATTTAAAAAGTAATGTAAAACCGTTGACCTTTATCAAGGTCAAGGCTCTACAGTCTTTATTTAAGCTAAGAAGGTAATAACGATTAAATGAAACATAAAACAGTTAAGGAGTTGACTTGTTTTTAATAGTTATTTCAGTAATGTTTGGGGGGTAGGTGAAATTACGTCTGTTCGCTAAGGAATTACCATTATGAGAAGAACAGACAAGAAACTCATAAGGTTTTCTTTTTCAACAGTCAAACATTATTACAATTTCATTTACTTCAACTAGAAAAACTTAGAAAGTTAATACTCAACATTTAAATAACTAATTTTCAACACTATTTCTTAACAAATTGACTTTAACTCAATAACTATCGAAATAATAGCAAGACACTAATTTGATTTGGAATCCGGGGAGAAATTGCACAAAGGTTCAACACTCACTTGTTTTCCCGCTCAAAATCCGTCACAGACTCTCTCTCAATAATGTTTTTCAAGCCCGCCTGCCGCCACTCTGGCGGCAACGTCTAGTTGCGCGTCAAAACGGAGGCAGATGGCGCTAACGTATTTTCGTAATATTGAATTTACCACAAATAACCATATTAAGAATTCCAAATCAAGCCTTAATTATTTAAACAATATTACAAATAAGTTCTGATAGTCTAAAGCAATCAAAACATTTAAAATAGTAAAAACAACTTACATTGAAAGTAGTCACAAAGACTTGCATCAAATTAACTCAGCAAAATTAAAACTTCACGTTAATACAGTATTATGAATTACAATCTTGTCTAAAAATTCTAATTAGATTTTAGAGAGTGAAATTTATAATCAAAAATAATCAATAACAATAATCAATTTAATTAATTTCCGGCGCCTCCAAAACTCCGCGGCGACACGGCCATACTGCGAGGCGAGACGTGCTCAGGATCGCTTGATTCTGAAAATAGGAAAGTAAATTCTTTTGAAGCTAGGCACTTCCACAGTACACCTAGTATTACAATTTACGGTCAGAGGCGCTCTATGATAACTCTTAGTAGGAGTATTGCTTATTGGACGGCTCCACACGCCAATAGCAATTTTAAGATAAATTATTCCCTCCGCGGAAAGCATCACGGGGGATTGGACTTATCGGACGGCTCCACACGCCAATAGTCCTTTTTACACACTATTTTTAGTCGAAGTCAAAGTCATGAAAGTCCTAATGTCAAAATTATGATATAGTGTGCATAGAGGTATGGTTTGTATTCATGTACATTTGGTGCGTATATTCGCACGGGTGTGTGATATGTGTGCGAGTGTGTGCTTGAAGAGCACAATATATTGAAAAACCCTCACCGGGAGAAATAGGTTTATGTAGACTCGGCGTCGCTGTCCTCTTCCAGGACAGCGGGGGTGGTGACAGCCTTTGATGGAGCCTCAACTCCAGGTGCTGGTGCCAGGTGTTCGTCTGGGGGCGACACGGCCGCCTGGGTGCCAGTTGGTTGTGGGGCGCGCCGCAGTTGGTCGTGCGCGACCTTGCGGGGTCGACCCTGATGTCCCACGACCTTCTTGACAAGGTAGCGGTCGTTCTCGAGCACTCTGTGAACTTCGTATGGAACGCTAAATTTCAAGTCTAAAGAAGTTTGATTTCTAGGGTTATTTTTAATTAGGACAAAGTCGCCTCGTTGAAAGTTATGGACTTTGGCACGCCCTCTATCGAACCTGTCCTTGTCCTTTAAAGCTATTGCAAGCATTCTTTGCTGCACATGTCGTTCTAAAGCTTCAGCGTTGACTAGAGCTTTGTCGATGTCGACTAGGTTCAGCAACTCTGCAGGCACGCAGTTCTGGCGACGAGTGAGGAGTGTTAATGGCGCAGTCCCAGTAGTTCTATGTACCGTACAGTTCATGGCGAGCTGCAGACTCTCGAGCGCTGTATGCCAGTCCGGGGATTCGTAATTTTTTATTATTACAAGACCGTTCTTAAGAGTTGCCATGACTCTTTCGACTTGTCCGTTTGCTCTGCTAACACCTGGTGATATTGGATGAAGTTCAATACCGTACCTGTCACAGTAGCTTTTATAGTCACCCAAGAACTCGCGCCCGCCATCTACTATGATTTGCCGCGGCGCTCCGAAAAGATGGATGACCTGTTTCAATGCGGCAAGAGAGCTGTGTTGACTTTTATCATTAGTGTGACGGAGTAGCACGTATTTCGTGTATGCGTCTATTGTAACTATAACATACTCTTGATTGTTTGGAGAACCAAGTTTCCCAGTAATGTCCATGTGTATTACTTCGAAGGGTACTGTTGGTTTGGGAATGGGGTGTAGTTGGACCTGATTAGCTCCCGATGTCTGTTTCGACGTTTTGCATACCACACAATTGTCGATAAAATCCCTAACACTGGTGTTCATCTTGTCAAAATGATAAGACTCTCTGATTTTGTGCAGAGTCTTCTCCCATCCTGCATGTTGTAGGGCACTATGGAAAGTGTTAATCAGGCTCCATTGAAATGCCCTTGGCACGACAGCGAGTCTTCGTGGGCCTAGAATAGGATCGATCCTTTCAAATTTGAGTATGTTACCTTCCAGATGATAACCAGTTACTTCCTCTCCTGTGCCCAAGGCGTCTATAGTGGGACGCAACTGTGGGTCGCGGCGCTGCTCTACGATAAGCCAGTCTAGGTTGCTGGTCATGACATTGACCGACAGTACCTCTGGATTCCGGCTCAGGAAATCTGCATGCTGCATCCGCTCGCCCTTCCTGTATTCTATGTCAAATTGGAAATTCTGAAGATATGCCCACCACCTATGGATCCGCGGGAGCAGATCTTGTTTATGTTTCGAAGCCTTCAACGCGTTGCAATCAGTGACCACTTTAAATTTTCGGCCGTAAAGAAAGTGTCGAAAGTGCTTAATTGCTCGGACCACGGCCAATGTTTCGAGCTCGTATGAATGATATCTACTTTCGATATCAGTTGTACGCATACTAAAGTATGCCACTACATGTTGCCGACCATTGATAACTTGAACGAGTATTGCTCCAAATCCGAGACTACTGGCGTCAGTAAACAACTCTATTGGTTTCTCTTCTTGGAAAATCGTTAGTATCGGCGCGGTGGTGAGGAAACGAATTATCTTTTGACGAGCCTCTTCATGAACACGACTCCATTTCCATTCAGCGCCCTGCTTAGTTAAATCGTACAGGGGAATCATTGTTCGTGCAAAATCGGGAATGAAGCGGCGAAAATAACCCGCTAAGCCATTGAATTGGCGGACTTGTTTTACAGTGGTGGGAGCAGGGGCCTTCAATAGGGCCTCGACTTTTTTGGGACTGGGACGGACCTGACCATTCTCTACTATATTACCAAGGTACTCTATAGACTTTTTGAAAAAGCTGCATTTGTCAATATTAATGGAAAACCCAGATTGCCGCAATGCTATCAAGATTCTTTCCAAGTATGAAAGACCAGAGGAAAAGTCGCGGCATTTGCTTATGACGTCATCTATGTACACTTGGGCTACGCTATCGTTGTGACCATTATTGGCACTGCCAGAATTCAGTAGCGGACCTAACGCGCGATTAATGCACCTTTGGTAAACGGACGGCGCGTTACAGAGACCAAAGGGCATGGTTAGGTATTCGTAGAGACCATCGGGTGTCACAAAAGCAGTTTTCTCGATTGAATCTGGGGCAATAGGAATCTGATGGAATCCGGATGCCATATCTAAACTCGTGTAATACTGTCCACCAGCCAACTGATCGATTTGATCAGCAATTAGAGGTAGGGGGTAGTGATCGCGTACCGTGTTACTATTTAACTCCCGATAATCGACGCACATTCGGTCGTCGCCATTTTTCTTCTTAACTAAAATAATTGGAC